AGGCGCTACTCGATGCCTCGATGCCTTGATTGATCGAAATCACTAGTTGAGGAGTACTCGTTGCAAAGATCAATCCAACTCCTCGGGTTGCGACAAGTGGCACACATGCAGCGCGCCACTTATCGCAACCTGGGAGTTTAAACTTTTTTCGTACTTCCGTTTATTCAAAATGTTTTATCTCTCAAACCATGCGTCCAAATCTCGAACCGCTTTCACCGTTGGATTCCTCACGTCGAGATATTCAAAACTAGATCCTATGTTGATAGGTTTTGACAAACTTTTTTTTCACAAAAAAACCAGACGAAAAAACCGAACCTGGAGCACGGGTTTTTCCCTTTCCAAAAGAGGCACGCCTGTGCCTCTCACGAAATCACAACCGTATCTCTCGTGGAAGCAAAATCGTGACTCTCACGGAAGGAAAAAAAGAAGAGAAAATATGTTTTTTTTATTTCTGAGGAGGCACAAACGTGACTCTCATGAAAGCACAACCATGCCTCTCGCGGAAGCAAAACCGTGACTCTCACGAAAGAAAAAAAACAGAAAACACGTTTTCTTTTTTCGTTTCCGAGAGGCACGGCCGTGACTCTCGCGAAAGCACAACCGTGTCTCTCGCGGAAGCAAAACCGTGATTCTTGCGAAAGAAAATAAAATACAAAACATGTTTTTTTTTGTTTCCGAGAGGCACGGCCGTAACTCTTGCTAAAGCACAACCGTGCCTGTCACGAAAGCAAACCGTGACTCTCGCGAAAGGAAAAAAAAACAGAAAACGCATTTTTTTTCCTTTTCCGAGAGGCATGGTCGTGACTCTCGCGAGAGCACACCCGTGCCTCTCGCGGAAGCAAGACCGTGACTCTCGCGAAAGGAAAAAAAATAGAAACGCGTTTTTTTTTATTCCGGGAGGCACGGCCGTGACTCTCGCGAAAGCAAAACTGTGTTTCTCGCGGAAGCGAGACCGTGACTCTCGCGAAAGCAAAACCGTGTTTCTTGCGGAAGCAAGACCGTGACTCTCACGAAAGAAAAAAACGCATTTTTTGGCGCAAATAATTTTTTTATCGAAAAGCTAAGACCGGTGGAAAACCAAAACGTCAAAAAGCCGGAAAAAAAACGTTATAAAATCCGAAAACGCGTGCGAAAAAATTAAAAAAAAATCCGGACGGAGCACCCAGAGCGCGACATGTGGAATGGCTGAGAGCGCGCCAAGTAGAGCTGATCGTTGCGAGGTTTCCGAAGGAGCGCTTGTTAACTAGTTGCCCCGTTGAATGATGCTCGATGCCTGCCGCCAGCCTTGATTGATGATCGATGCGTGCCGCCAGCTCCAGGTTCAGCTGATGTGCTCGATCTTCCCTAGAAAAAGTTGTTCTGCTTGATCGGAAACTAAACGGCGTTTCAATTCTGCTCGATCGATCGCCTCCACATTCCACAGGCGGGCGACACGGCGCATCCTCCTGGCTCGTGCTATCGAGACTTCCAGATCCGGCAACGCTGCGACGGACGACGTGGCGACAGGTAAGGCACAGGCAGGACGAGGGTAAATTATTTACAACGGTTTTGGCATTACAAATACAATAAAATCCTCATTGGTTCACAACTTTGAATCCATCGATTTCCTCTCGCGATCTCGGGTTCTCAAATAGGAATTCCGCTGGCTTGTACACCTAACTCTTCTCCTATTCTCCTAATTCCTATTTTCTTATTTATATATCAAACTTTTATTTAAGAAATTATATCACATACAATATAATTACTCGATACTTCTTTTTTGTAGTGAGATATGGCTCCATTCTTTAGTTTCACACATGACCCTGGATTTTTCCGGCCCGGCCCTGCGTATCAGCATACGTGGGAGTTTGCCGTGCTGTCACTTTTGCCGAGAGTTGCGGTCGGCATATACATATTTGCTGAGTGCGCGTGGTTTGGCTCTTGGAGAAGAGCCACACGTCCGGCGTATACAAAAATTCCAGTAGTGAATACTCATTACATTGCTGTCCTTCACGAAGCAATAATTGCACTACAAGAGCTGTTAGAAACGAGAACCAGTCTAACGGTCTAATCTTAGGCCATCTTCTTGTCCACTGAATCTAACCAGCAATCCAGACAACAACAGCAGTACAGCAGTTGCCAAAGAAAGGCAAGTTGGCCTTGTGTATGGACATGGTTGCAAAATAAATTGATTTACTCCTTACTAGTTGCCTAGTTGCTTCCCCCTTGACGTGACTGCCGCGTAAGTAAACTTTCTAACTGTTGATCACATGCACTCCATCCTTTGCCGAAGACCGAGCAAAGCGCGGATGGAGCTGCGCTAATTACATCAACCACAGGTATTGACGGGTTCTTCATTAGCGATTATTGCACGACAGGAGCTGTTAGGAACTAGTGCAAGTCTGACACTATGCCTATCTTCATGTCCATTGAATCTGACCACCAACCATGAAAATAACTGTCAGACAAATGCAAGTTGGCCGTACCGCCGTTGATTTGGCACCTGTGTTAGTAAGCTTTCTATTTGTTAGTAATCGTGTCCATTCCTTCCATCCCTAGCTGAAGACTGATCAAGGCGCCGATTGAGCTGCTAATTCTAGCAACCACAGGTGTTGATGAGCTTTTGTAGCGATAGCAATGGGCGTAGTGGTGCTTCTTTCGGATACAAATTAAATGGTATACTTTTTTGTGTCATATAACTCATATTTCATAGGTTAAATTGATGATCTGCAAAAAACACGTAGTTGAGAAAAAAAGCAGATATGTAATTAACCCATGTTGTCATTTAAATAAGGCAATAGGTTATACTTAAGTGACAGACCTGGCACCTGGCAGCCGTGCGGACATATTAGGTGGTCGTCGAAGTGAACGGAACTCCCGGCCCATGATGGGTCAGGGTGCACCAGCGGCTCCTCGTTCGCTTCAAGGACGGTGGCATCCACCTCTTTTCATGCGGAGAACACTTGGGCAATGGCCTCAGCGTTATGGTAGATGCTGCATGTCGGTTCACCCTGCTGTGAAATGACAGAGACTAGTTCCGCTCCACGGCATTGCCAGCCTCCTGGCGGTCATGGTGATGGTCTTTGGTGCGCTTATATCCCACCCATCTGCTAGTGCTACTCTGGCTTATTGCGGAGAATTGGCAAGCGTGACAGTTGGAAGATCTGTTACCAAGATGATGTTTGAAACACACTTAATGTCAGAGGTGAAAACACTTGTTCTGGTCTTTACTAGCTGGCTCAGCAGCAGTGAACTTGCGTCATTATATTGTTGAATTCGTTGTCCCTGATACGACAGTGCCGTTAGGGCATTTTATCTTCTTAAAGGCGTTGCTACAAAAGAAGTTGACATAGTCCTAGGTGTTGAATTCATATTTTGTAATGACTCTACTATAGTTGTTTGTCTATGTTTTTCACTTGTGGATTACTTTGGCATTGTTGCATTGCATCAATTTTAATAACATGATTGTGCGCATCAATTGGTCCAGTGGGCCCAACCACCTTTTCTAAATTAAAAAATAGGTTGTACCTAAGCGCCAATTGGGTGTTTACAAGGTGTGGGTTTGGTACAAATATAGCTTGCATGTTAACTGCTAAATATAACTTTTTGGAATTGCATTACTCATAGATGCTGGGTGTTCGGATCTCGGGATCCGTCATCTGGCACCAGTTGCGAGTCGGGAAGACGTAGTTGCCGGTGAAAACCGAGCCGACGGTGGGCGATAGCGGCGTTCCACGTCGTTACCTTGATGAAGGCATCGTCATGTGACTACCGTCGACCCACTCGTATTGCTCCGGGGGAAACCCTAAGATATGGTGTTCCAGACCGAACGATGACGGCACTGCGGTGTCGTTTCTCTCTTGGGAGCATCGTTTTGTGGAGCAGCGCTGGAAGTCAGAGGCGGGAGGTGGAGCGGCTTCGTCTTGCACGGAGCTTCGGTGGAAATGTCAAGTGATGCCTGACCGACAGGTGCTACGCATGGTCATGCCTGGTCGGCAGGTGCTACGCACGACAGATCCTCCAAGGGCTTCAAGCTGTGTCGGCTGGTGGTACTTGGCAGCATAGCGCTGAGGTGTATCAGTGACGACCGCGACGTGTTCAGTTGTTTGCGCGCAGGGAGGAGGTGCCGTTGGGCGCCGTGGTAGCGTCGACGATAGCTGGACCGAGCAAGGTTGATGCATCAGTGCAGTTCTGAAGATGGAGCGGTGACAGTTGGCGGCGGCGGCCTCTGAGAGCACGCCGGACCAGTGTGTGCCCCAGACCCGGCAAGTGGCTAGGTTGGGGTCTCAGGTCTTAGATGTTAGGCTGTGCTGCGATGTCTGTTTGGTATTAGGCTCAGGCTATCTGCGCCCCTTCATCAACTGGATAGGTGTAGCGACAGTTTGTTGCTTAGACGGCGGCTTTAGTCTTACTGTTGTATGACTTTGTAAGCTATATGCATCGCCCAGATGCAGGGGGGCATCCTCCTTTTATAAAATAAAAATTACTCATAGATTCTAAAACAAAAGACCAAGAAGAGTAGTATAGCTCTCATGAGTATTGGCTAATTTCATTCCTAATGCGCAACATTTTGGTTTGACAGAGATTTTTGGGTCCTTTAGATTGTTGAATACAAGTAGGCCAAACAAGTTATGAACGTAGTGCTTACTATCAAGGGCCCTTTGTTTTTTTATGTATGCAATACGTATGCTTATTGTGGTAGTTGTCAAAACTACAAATAAGTTTTTGTGAAGTTGTACTTTTCAAACTTCCATTACCCATAATCACAAAGTCAGCACACACTAGAGAGCTAGAGGGGGGAGCATGATTTAATATTTCTTTGTCCAGTTGACCTGTGGAAGTTTTGTTTTGACCGAGCCTTGTGTAGCTATCAAAGATATGAGCACGATTAATGACCTTGAACAAGTCGTACCAACAAACTAGTTGGCTTTCATATAAGTGTCTCCAAATGCACGCAGCAAAGCGAAACTCACATAGTAACAGAAGTAGAAGAACAACAATAGAGTGAAAAAGCGAGCGAGATGGCAAACTGCTTCGGGGAAGTTGTCGACGACGGCAAGCTGAACAAAATGGAGAGGTACATGGGTAAGCCAAAGTCACGCCAAGACAGAGCAAGAGAGGCCTGGAATCAGATCAGCAAGGACGACAAGGACGCCAACGCTACCAGGTATGTCGAAGGTCTCAAGTCCATGTATGGCAATGGACAGTCCACATTGTGCCTTGTGTATAATGCGACGGGCGACACCCTCCGCAAAGTCGACAACCACGACTGGTATGGTTATATTGGCAGTGCTCCCTACCCCGCCGAGATCGGCAACGGCCAGTGGGCTGCCTTCCATCACGTCCACCGGGCTGGCGAGCCGTCGGGTTCCGTAGGCGCTGTTGTGTACCGTGGGAAGAATGGCGAAGGGGTGGACAAGGACTATCTTGTTGCATGGAGTACTCCATGGGGCATGTGGTACCGTAACAAGGTAATCCTAAGAGTAGTTAATCATTCCAACTTAATTACTCCGTTCGATTTGATGTACTATAACACATATAGTATATTTTGATTGTCAAAGTTTTCCCTAAGTTTCTCCTAAGAACATATACAAGCTCAAGAACATATTGTCAACATACGAAACCAATGGATTTTCTGTCATAAAGCTCATGTATTAATGGATAATTATTCCTCAAAGTTCAAACACGTATGAGCAATTGAAATATGTCCCAATATTTCTGGTACAACCCGGACCAAAAGGGAGTTATATTAAGCTAACAAGCCTATGGTAATACTACTTCCATGGTTACTCATGGGATAATAACATTTTATTAATCAATGCATATGCAGGCTTATTGCGAGATAGGTGCCGTCAATTGCTACCAAAATCTTTGGGCTGGTATGTACAATAGAGTGGCCAATTCTGATTATTCTTCGAGTGCTAGATCCGATGGGTGCGAGATTGATGCAAGAATTGAAACAGGCGATAGCCCAAAATTTACTGCAAAAATCACCGTCCGCTGATCAGTCATATCCAGCAATTGTGTGCCATGCGCCGCCTCTATGGTTGGCACTTTGATTTAGTTGGAGGATGGCGTTTGTTTGTATCGTCAGTTCATGTAGTTCCGAATAAACGGCACTGAACCTATTTGCACACTTTCATCTATTCAGTATCATAATTTCAGTTTGATTTATTACGGACTAGCTAATTGTCCGTATGTTGTAATGGGGCACAAATATATACGCAATCATCACTATTTACTGTCATTTTCTTGTTATGTGATTACGTATCAAAAATAGACTTCATTTCCCAACTGAAGTACACCAATAAGACTTGGGGCTGTTGATGCGGATTTCAAGAAAGACCAGTGGAATGGGTTGTTCTATATCTTATATAGCGGGCGAAAGCGTCTTTCGAGAAAACCCATTTGAGTGAGGGAAATCAAAACGGGCAGTAGAGGAGGGGATTGTTGGAACCACAGCCCTCTCTCACTCTGGGCTAGAGATAGAAGAAGACACAAGACACAAGAAATTTCGGGCCGCCGCACGAACGCCACCGTGGGCGCAGGCACGCCCTAATCTTCTTTATCTTTTCACTAGCTACATCGCTGCAACACCGGCTCTTGCGTCTTAGCTACATCAGGTCTGGAGGGTTTTATACCTGCGCGTGTGCACGTACACACCGCATCCTACCTCCCCACGTACAGCAGCTACCTCTGCACGATCTGCCCGGCTAGCGCACGACGCGCACCACGCGCCCAGAACGCGGCCAGCTCCACAGATCGCTACAACGGCCTAACTACTACAGACGCCACACCTGCATGTAGCTCCATGCACTAACTAAGTCGGCTAGCATGCACGCCTGACTATGACCCAGCCAACTACACGCACCATCTCAACACACATGTGCATGGTTTATTGCTAACAATCCCCCCCTAAACCATGACCTCGCCGGAGCACCGATTCGTCGTCGCTGACGTCGCCATGGCTGCCTCCACCTGATGCCACCGCGCGCCTCAGCCGGTCGTTGTGACGTGCCACCAGCTCACCTTCGTCGGAGTTGGTGTAGCCCCCCGTCGTCGATGTCGCCATGACCGTGACCCTGGTGCACCGACGACGGTCGCACTGTGCTCCGTCACGCCTCCGGCGACATACGCCGAGCTCCTTCTCCGTCGGCGACACACGCCTGGCGTCCCTCCGTGTCACGCCCGTCCCGCACGCATTCGACGTGCCCGACGAGCCTGACCGCACCAGTGAGTCCCGCACGTCCCCCGCGCATCTGACACGCCCGACGAGCCCGACAGCACCAGACGCTCACCGCGTGCCCCTCCGCGTCCGCCATGGCAGCCGCCAGCGACAAACGCCAGAAGGATGTAGCCGAACTCGAGCACCACGGCGACATACGCCTCCTCCCAACGTCAACTGCACGCTCGTACGCGCGCCCGCGGTCCCGACGTGTTCGACGCGTCTAGTGCGCACCCATAACACGCACCGGTCGTGCCCGGCTCGCCGCCGCGTCTTATTGCCCTGCATCGCCGCGGCCTCCATGCCGCCATGCAGTGCCTCCACGCTACTATGTTGTGCTGCGCCGCCGCGCCACCACGCAGCGCCTCGGCGGCCTCCGCGGTCGCCGCACGTACGACATCACCGCCCACCGCATCCGCCACGCGCCATGACAGCCACAGCGCTGCCCACCTCCATGGGCCAACACACGGCCCGGAGCTCCATCGCGCATCCGCCACGCGCCATGACAGCCACAGCGCCGCCCACCTCCATGGGCCAACACACGGCCCGGAGCTCCATCGCGCAGCCGCCGGCGAGCGCCGCCATCACTGCCACGCCTCCGACACGGCAAGCACGCCCGAGACACCAAGCTCATGATACCAATTGTTGGAACCGCAGCCCTCTCTCACTCTGGGCTAGAGGTAGAAGAAGACACAAGACACAAGAAATTCCGGGCCGGCGCACGAACGCCGCCGTGGGCGCACGCACGCCCTAATCTTCTTGATCTTTTCACTAGCTACATCGCTGCAACACCGGCTCTTGCGTCTTAGCTACATCAGGTCTGGAGGGTTTTATACCTGCGCGTGTGCACGTACACACCGCATCCTATCTCCCCACGTACAGCAGCTACCTCCGCACGATCTGCCCGGCTAGCGCACGACGCGCACCACGCGCCCAGAACGCGGCCAGCTCCACAGATCGCTCCGACGGCCTAACTACTACGAGGCCACACCTGCATGTAGCTCCATGCACTAACTAACTCGGCTAGCATGCACGCCTGATTATGACCTGACTATGACCCAGCCAACTACACGCACCATCTCAACACACATGCGCATGGTTTATTGCTAACAGGGATGACGTAAATACAGGGCGCGGAGCAATAACGAATCTACTGTGCGTACGATTCTTATATATGTACAGGGGGCAGGGGAGGACTAGGATTTAATACGATAACTAATTAAGTGGCCAGCTGCAGTTCACTTCTCTGCATGGACGGCTCGACATGTCATACAAAAATCGGATGCATGGCATTGTACGCATAGCAGCACTCGACCAATAATGCTAGACCTATAAAAATCCACAAAGTTAATACCTAGGCGACTGTTAGGCGCCGGCGCGCCGGCCTAAATTTGGGCCGGTCAACGTGGAGCCGCTAGACCTGGGCTCCCTCAACCATTAGATCTGAATGGTCTTCTACCTTTAGTTGGTCAACACCTGCACAAAAAAAATCCCACGTGCCTGCTAGTCGCTGCGCGAGGCGGCTTCTCCTCTCGCCATCACGTGCGAGATCTTCCGGTGAGGGTAGCAGCAGCCCCTCTTCCTCGCGTCGCTGCTGCCCGAGCACTGACGTCATAGCGCCGCCTTCCTAGCCTCTGTTGAATCTTGAGGTCGCCGCACCGACTCCGACAACGCCGCTTGTCATACCAAGACGGATGAAAGAGAACCTGCCCTTCTGACTTCTTCTCTTGTCTGTCGTCCCCACAAGACGGCTGCAGCTCACCGCTCCATGGTTGCCGCAACAGGTGTGTCATTGCCCATCGCCGTCAACATTTGGCCCACGGGTGCGCCGTCCATCAGCCCTCGCCGTCATCTCCCATGTCACCACTTCACCCATGTCGTCACAGCAAACTACTTCACTGGTTGTAGCTTTTACAAGTGCTGGTTGCAGCCATGGCGGCGCCACCCCGTCGTCATTGAAGTACCACTTCCACCGGTTGAAGCAAAAAAATCAGCGGGTTCCAGCTTCGTCGGCAACGGTCCCAGCAAACCCCATCGCCGGTTGAGCTCCATCTTCACCGTCAGTTCCAGGGCGGCCGCACTCTGCTTCCAGCATTCCAAAGCGCAAGTTGTAGCAAAAAAGTGACACCGGTTGTAGCAGGGGCTACGCTGGTTGTAAATCACGCAAGATAATTGTAGCACCGCGTGTATCCCAGCTAATCACGCATGCTTGTAGCAAAAGAAAAGCTCCGGTGATAGCTTTTGCCATAGCCGGCTGCAGCAGACAAATGTCATCACCGCCGTCGGGGTTGCAGCATCATCGTGAAGGATGTAGCAAATGCCATCGCTGGTGGCAGCAATTGCAAACATCGGTGGTAGCAAAAAATTGATGACGATTGCAGCAAAAACCATGTCGCCGCCATCGCGGGTCATGCCCTTGCCGTATTTGGTTGTAGCAGATTCTGCCACGGGCTGCAGCTCCTTCATCGCCTGGTTCCAGCATCTCACATCAATGGTCGCAACACCCCCTTCGCAACACCAGTTGAATTAGCTTCACGCCGGCCGCGCACCAGTGTCGCCCGAGCTCGTCGTTTGTAGCGACCATGGCTGCACGCAGCCGTTTCCTGCCCAGCAGCGGCAACGAATGGAGCAGGGATGCAGAAGGGTGTGTGTGCCTTGGGAGGAGCAGCTTTGGTGAGGGCCTCTAGGGTGGGCGGAGCTGGACTAACGAGGGCCATGGCGGAGGAGCGCAAGCTGCTTGTGGAAGAGCACGAGAAAAAAGGGTTTGATGGGCTTATCCACGATCCTGGATGGGCGTGCAACCGGGACCTCCTATACAACGCCTTCAGCGCCCGTTATCGCAACTGGCGCCCACGCGCCGCGCAGCTGGGCCGGCCAAACAATCGCCGCAACCATACCACGAAAAAAATTAAAATGATTTTTATCCCGAAACTACTTCAGTTGTACTCCCTCCGTCCGAAAATACTTGTCCTCTAGATACAATCATTTCAAGGACAAGTATTTCCGGACGGAGGTAGTAGTATAATTCGAACTTCAAAAAAATGTTCAGAGAAATTGGAAAAAAGTTAAGAGAATTACTGTTTAAAACTTCATGAATTCGAAAATGTGCATGAAGTTTTCAAAAAAGTTCACAAATTTGAAAAAAATCATCATATATGAAGAAAGTTAATCGAATTTGAAAGAAGTTCATCAAATTTGAAAAAAGTTCATTTTTTTAAAGTTCATCGAATATGAAAACAGTTCATCGAATTTGAAAATAGTTCATTGAATTTGAAAAAGAGTTCATTGAATTTGAAAAAAGTTCATCGATTTTGAAAAAGAGTTCACCAAATTTAAAAAAAGTTCATCGATTTTGAAAAATAGTTCACCGGATTTGAAAAAAGTTCATCGATTTTGAAAAAGAGTTCACTGAATTTGAAAAAAGTTCATCGATTTTAAAAAGAGTTCGCCGAATTTTTAAAAAGTACATCATATTTGGAAAAAAGTTCATCGATTTGACAAAAGTTCATCAGTTTTTTTAGAAAAACACAAAAAAATCATTGATTTTTCTTAAAAACATGAATTTAGAAGAAAAAAACACACATTTTCAAAAAAGAACAAAAGAAAACCCAAATAAAACCGCACCATAAAATGACCAGCGAACCGAAAAAAACAGTTAGGGAAGCTTCTAGAAACTTCCAAAAACCGGAGGAGCCCCGCAACTGAATAGAGAAATAAAATGAAGGAAGAAGTTTTTAAACACGAACTGGTTGGTGGCTTAGTTGTTGCACTCTTGGCGT